TAATTACAAAATGGTCACCTTTCTTACAAGAACGGATGCAGACTGGATTATGAACGTGCCTCCAAGGTGAAGTTGGTTTCTCCCCTTGCCCCCGCCCCACCCCAATAATAATAATAATAATAATAATAATAATAATAAATAAATAAAATTCATCGTTAAGTTTTGGATCCTTTTTTTTTGTTTTGTTTTGTTTTGTTTGATTGTTTGAAGTGGTGCAGATGGGACTGTTACTGGGTTTTCTTCCCCGTGCCATTCTTGTCAGCAGAGTTTGTTGAGGTTACCAAATTGACCGGCCCGTCCGAGTGCATGGAATCCTTGCGGGGGGGCATCCGCTCGTTAATACGATCCAGCCCCCGGGCTTCTTCGAAGCTACGGATTTTGTGCTGGGGTGAAAATCCACGAATGGCTACAGGAAACAACAAAAAAAAGAAAAGAAAAGAAGAAAAAAAAAAAAGAAACAAAACAAAACAAACAAAAAGAATTAATTTAAGCGGCGGAACGGCGGATTAGGAGCACACGGCAGACACGTACAGGACAGAGGGAAGGCAACAGAAAGCACGTGTCTGGCTACAAGAATCCATGGGGGGGGTCCAAAGGGGGTTTTTTTGGGGCATCACCAGAGCACGTGGGTACCAGGAGTTGGGAATCAACACAATGATATGGGAATAAAGTTGGGGTTGAGCCTGGTTGAGCCAGGAATCAACACGACGATATGGGCTATGAGGTTGGGAGGCACCTCTGGAGATCACCCAGTCCAGGGCCACCCAGAGCAGGTCCCACAGGAACGTGTCCAAGTGGAGGTTTGAATGTCTCCAGAGAAGGAGACCCCACCACCTCTCTGAGCAGCCTCTGCCAGGGCTCTGCCACCCTCACAGCAAAGAAGTTCCTCCTCATCTTTAGGTGGAACTTCTTATGCTCAAGTTTGTGCCCGTTCCCTCTTGTCCTGTCCCTGGGCACCACTGAAAAAAGACCAGCCCCATCCTCCTGACACCCACCCTTTCAGTATTTTGAGGTGTTGATCAGATCCCCCCTCAGCCTTCTCTTCTCCACACTCAAAAGCCCCAAGTCCCTCAAAGTTTCCTCAGCAGAGAGATGCTCCAGTCCCTTGATCATCTCTGGGGCCTCTGCTGTCCCCTCTCCAGCAGTTCCCTGTCCTTGTGGAACTGGGGAGCCCAGAACTGGTCCCAGTGCTCCAGCTGGGGCCTCCCCAGGGCAGAGCAGAGGGGCAGGAATCACCTCTATTTTTGAGCTGTGCTAAGTCACAACAGCAAATTCTAAAATCCAGAGCAGCAACTTGCTCTGTTCCCTCGTGGTTTCTCTTTTCATAGAGTTTAGCAGCAGGAACTTGAAGACCAGACAAGTGCTCAATGTCCCCAAACAGTGAAAATCTCAGGAAACTTTCAAAGCTGAAAAAACACCGTACTTTTTTTTTTTTTAAAAAAAAAAAAAAAAAGGAAAACCAAAACAACACAAAGACACCACCACAAGGGTTTAACTCCAACACAAACCACACACGGCAACACCAGGAGAAGGAAAAGGGCTATTCCTCGGATCACAAACGCCAACGCTTCTTGCATGACCAGGAGGGACACGGGACAGTCCCACCAAGGGCAGGAACATCTCAATTTCATCACTACCAGGGCACATCATCCTGGAGGTGATGATACGGACCGAATGTTTAACTTCTTTTGTCTTCCAAATAATTTAAGAATAATAAAAAAAACCACTTTTGTGCCAAAGCTTTTTTTATGGCTCGTTTCCAAACGAACTTCCCTTGATAAATCAGAGTTCTCTACACGGCCCCATTCAGGAGAAAAACCTCCCTGGGACAATAACCTTGTGAAATCTTTCATTTCTACACCAGAAAAAATGGCTTTTCCACACCAGGACCATCTTGGCCCATCCGTGGGGAAGGCGAGGATGACATCAGAGAGGCAAAATCGGCTATTTTCTAGATGATTTTGACCGAAATCTGCTATTTTCTAGATGATTTTGACCGAAATCGGCTATTTTCTAGATGATTTTGACCGAAAGCACTGGCAGCCTTCACCGAATCCAGTTCCCCGGGGGATAAACTCAGCCCTGAAGCATCCGAGATCAAACCACAAGACCCCAACACCCCAAAGGTCTTGAGACAGCAGAGCACAAAGCGCTCCGGAGAGAGGGAACAAACTGCTGGCACTAAGAAATAACCTCGTTAAAGGCTAAAATAAGGCAGGAACCAGCCCGCTTAAGTGTATTTTTTGGCTTCCCAGCAGGGGCCCCCCGTCCTCCCCCACTTCTGGTGATGCAAGAGTAAAAAGCTTCCATGAGGCTGAGAAAGCTCTTTAAAATTAGCACACGCAAAAAACACACAGAGAGAGATGATTTGGAGTCTCTCGCCGGATTCTAGCCATACCTTCCCGTGCCTCTACTGCTTCTACTGTGGCTGCAATACAGAAGAACAGTGGCATGCAAAAAAAAAAATAAAATAAATGAAGACAGGAAAAAAAATAAAAAAAAAAAAACAAACAACAAAACAAAACAACAACAAAAAAAAAAAAAACACAAAGAGTGACAGTGAGTGATCTCACATCATCGCTGCGAAAGAGCCCCAACAGCCTCCCAGCCCCGGGGAGGGGGAGTAAATCAAAGAGGGGTGGTTGAGGAAAAAATAAAAAATAACAAAGGGTGAGAGGAGTTGGAGAGGAAGGTTTGAAAAAGGGGATTCCCCTCGGGTTTAGAGGCTGCTGAGCGTCGACACGGGGGAGTCTCCTTTCAGAGAGAGAAATCTGATGGAGAGAAACAGAAAAGGGGAGAAAAGGGCTTTCTGCTCCAGGGCTCGGACACGCCGACGGTCCACGGCAAGGACAGAAAAAGTCTTGGAGAAAGCCATGGGTCCCCCATCTGTATTTACAGCCCCCCCCCCAAAAGATCCCAGTTTGGTGACTTTAGGATGCCCTGGCCACCTCGGGAAGGTAAATTATGTGGAATTCACCCCAGAGCGAAGCCCCACCCACCAAAGCCACGTAAGGGAAGTGACCCCCAGGGATGTGATGACTTTTTTGGAGGGGTGGGGAAGCGAGGGGCAGTTTGTGATGACTTTTTTGGAGGGGTGGGGAAGCGAGGGGCAGTTTGTGATGACTTTTTTGGAGGGGTGGGGAAGCGAGGGGCAGTTTGTTCTCCAGGGGAGGGCAGGCAGCAGCAGAGACCAGGCTGCTCCGCTCCCGATGCCTTGAATTATAACAAAAATAAATAAAATAATATACAAGCTGATGCTTCAAATCCAGTTTGGCTTCAGCTCCACCTCCTAAAAGTGTTACCAAGCAACAAGGCACCATCAAGCTGAGCAACGGCCCCTTTCCTCAATCTGCTGCAGCAGCTGCCTGAGTTTTGGTCGTCCCTGCCTCAACATCTGGGAGGAGGCCCTTCCCTTGAGCGGATCCCCCGCTTTTTAGCCTCAAAAACGCCACTTTTTCTTCCTCTTTGGACACAATACAAAGGCCACGTGGTCCTTGAGAGGCCACAGAGGAAGAACGGAGCGTGGCTGAACATCTTTTCGCCAGATTCGGTGATTTTACTCAGCTGATTTTGCTGTGAAAGGTTGGCAAGAGGCTCAGGGAGGGAAGAACCCCCCCCATTCCCGCTACCTACAGCCCTGTCTCTCCTTTTGGGGTGCAGAGACACCCCAAAAAAGGGGGCCAGCCCCCTCCTCTCCCCACTGAGCAGACGGGCAGGAGGCTGCTGCAAGCAGAGGGCACCAAGGGAGGTGGGAAAACGGGAAAGAGGGGAGAGGAGGAGGCAAAAGAGGGGAAAAGGAGCAAGAAAAGGGGAGGAAAAGCCTGGGGAGTGCAGTGGGGGGGTGCTGTGGGCAGTGGGGGGTGGGAAACCTGCAGCCACGGGGGCAGCAGGCAGGGTTGGGTAAGGCAGCAGCAGAGGTCCAGCTTGTTTGTCCTGTCTCTGGGGGATGCAGAGATCTCAGCATCCTTCCTGGGGGGCTGCTTGGGAGCCCCTTAGAGGTTCCCCCCCCAAGAGGGGAAGGTGCAGGGAATCACTCCCCTCCCTGTTTTAGGGGCAAATCTGCAGCACAGAGAGAGCTGGGTGCTGGAGCTGAGCTGTAACATCTCAGGGGGATGCAGAAATCTCAGCACCCTTCCTGGGGGGGCTGCTTGGGAGCCCCTTAGAGGTTCCCCCCCCAAGAGGGGAAGGTGCAAGGGAGCACCCACTCCCTTTTAGGGATGCAGAGATCTCAGCATCCTTCCTGGGGGGCTGCTTGGGAGCCCCTTAGAGGTTCCCCCCCGAGAGGGGAAGGTGCAGGGAATCACTCCCCTCCCTGTTTTAGGGGCAAATCTGCAGCACAGAGAGAGCTGGGGGCTGGAGCCGAGCTGGAACAGCCCAGGGGGATGCAGAAATCTCAGCATCCTTCCTGGGGGGCTGCTTGGGAGCCCCTTAGAGGTTCCCCCCCCAAGAGGGGAAGGGGCAAGGGAGCACCCACTCCCTTTTATAGGGGCAAATCTTCAGCACAGAGAGAGCTGGGGGCTGGAGCCGAGCTGTAACATCCCAGGGGGATGCAGAAATCTCAGCATCCTTCCTGGGGGGCCCTTAGAGGTTCCCCCCCGAAGAGGGGAAGGTGCAGGTAATCACTCCCCTCCCTGTTTTAGGGGCAAATCTTCAGCACAGAGAGAGCTGGGTGCTGAAGCAGAGCTGTACCAGCTGCCTTCCTACTCAGGCTCTGTTCCCCTGCCTGCCACAGAACTGGGGCGAGAGAAACCATTATGGTTGTTATAAAAAAAGAAAAAAAAATAAGAAAAAAAACCCCTTCGTGCTCCTCTGCAGGGAGAGAAATCCATGAGTTTGGATTTGGAGCACTACAGCATCCCCTCCACCCCCAGGAGCGGGCAGCAATATTGACACGTTTCTGACTGGTGAATTATTAAATCAAGGCAAGGCAATCCCAAAAGGAGCCCTTTTCTGAGCCCACAGGAAATTACCCAGCGCCGATAGGAAGGGGAAAAAAGCAAGGCTGGGGAGATGCCAGCATTCAAAGGCTGGCGGCAGGAAAGGATTAAAACACTAGATTATAGGATACCCTCTGGGGACACATGTTACTGTGATAACTCATTCCCTGACCAGGGGCCAACCTCGCTGCCCTGCGAGTTTAAAACACGCTGCTGGCGAGCTGGGTCCTGCTCTTAGCACACCAAGAGAGAGATTTTGGCTGCTGGAGGGAGGGAGGAAAGTATTTGCCAGCAAGGAACAGAAAAAGAAACCTCCAAAAACCAGATCAAAACCAGGAGGCCCGAGAGAAGCCTTAATATGAAACATACAGGCCTGGAAGAAACTCCTTCCTTCAACTAAATCGAAGCTTCTTTAGGGATTCACGATTTTGTAGGGTCAAAAAATCTGAGGGGTTTTGTTTGACGAGGAACAAACAAGCACTGTTACATCCATAGATATCACACAACAGCAGCAGAGAGGTGAAGCAAAGGATGCTTATCATGCAGGGAAATAAATGATAAAAACTGTTGCAGAAACACACAATATAGCAATACACATGCTTTTCGGCGGGGTGCTGCTTGTTGTATATTTATTTTTTTTTCCCCTCTCCTTCCCCTCCTCCAGGGAACGTGGGGACATCTTGGAAGGTTCTCCACATTCCCACCTACATTTTTGCTTCTTCCTATTTATGAATCCTTCCTCCCCGGGGGGGGTTGAACCATCATCTCTCTCATCCCCTGGCACCCTGAGATACGCCTAGGGGACCCCATGGAAAGGTTCAAGGGGCAGGTAGAGAAGTGTGGAGGGGGTGCAGTGTTGTTGGGGGGGGGAGGATTGCTTGTACTCACCAGTCTGTAGGGTCTGCCTCCCCCCTGAGAGCACTCCCAGGGGCAGGGTACCTGTGGGAGTCAGGCCTTTGAGAGTCAGCACGCTCTCGCTCTCCTCCCTGCAAACAGAGGCAACACAAGGAGTCACCAAGAGAGTGACACACTGCTCAGTTGGGTCACAGTCACACAACGGTTTGGGTTGGAAGGGACCTTAAAGACCATCTGATCCCAAACCCTTTCCATGGGCAGGGACACCTCCCACCAGCCCAGGTTGCTCCAAGCCCCCTCCAACCTGCCCTTCAACCCCTCCATTTATGGGGCAGCCACAGCTTCTCGGGCCAACCTGGGCCAGGCTCTCACCACCCTCACACCAAACAAGTTCTTCCCCACATCTCAGCTCCATCTCCCCTCTTTCAGGGTCAAACCCTTCCCCCTCCTCCTGGGGCTCCCCTCCCTCATCCAGAGTCCCTCCCCATCTCTCCTGGAGCCCCTTGAGGGACTGGAAGGGGCTCTGAAGTCTTCATGGAGGAGCTCCCCTCCCTCATCCAGAGTCCCTCCCCATCTCTCCTGGAGCCCCTTGAGGGACTGGAAGGGGCTCTGAAGTCTTCATGGAGGAGCTCCCCTCCCTCATCCAGAGTCCCTCCCCATCTCTCCTGGAGCCCCTTGAGGGACTGGAAGGGGCTCTGAAGTCTTCATGGAGGAGCTCCCCTCCCTCATCCAGAGTCCCTCCCCAACTTTCCTGGAGCCCCTTGAGGGACTGGAAGGGGCTCTGAGGTCTCCCCGGAGCCTTCTCTTCTCCAGGCTGAACACCCCCAACTCTCTCAGCCCGTCCTCCCAGCAGAGGGGCTCCAGCCCTTCCAGCATCTCTGTGGCCTCCTCTGGACTTCTTCCAACAGCTCCATGTCCTTCTGATGTTGGTGGCCCCAGAGCTGGAGGCAGCACTTGGTGGGGAGGGTCTCCCCAGAGCAGAGCAGAGGGGCAGAATCCCCCCCTGGCCCTCCTGGCCACGCTGCTGGGGATGCAGCCCAAGGTGCTGGGGGGGGGCTTTCTGGGCTGTGACCCCACATTTCTGGGGCGTGTGGAGCTTCTCATCCACCAACACCCCCCAGGTCCTTCTCCTCGGGGCTGCTCTCCAGCCATTTTCTCCACCCAGCCTGGATTTGTGCTGGGGATTGCCCTGACCCCCATCCACGCAAGTGAGGAATGCCACAAAAAGAGGAATTTGCCCCGTGCTGACCCGCAGGCAGCGCGTGGGCACCGGGCACAACCTGCCTCATAAATACAGGACCTCTGCTTGCTCAGCCACGGCACAGCAAAGGCATCCCCAAAGGGCTAAATACACCAAATCAGCAGGATTTCTGCTGGCAGAGGTGCTGGTGGCTTGAGAGAGAGCTTTCTGATGGACTCAGAGGCCTAGAAACACCAAAACCACCACCTTGAGCCTTTGCCTTCTGCTCCAAAGCCCAGAATCTCCTAAAATTGTTCCCCAGCAGGGCTCTGCCTGCCTGGCACACTCTGACAACGTCCCCCGTTGACCCAGACCCCAAATAAAAATCAGACTCCAAATAAAAATCAGACTCCAAGGAAAAAAATCAGACCCCACGTGGAAATAAAAAATCAGACCCCACGTGGAAATAAAATATCAGACCCCACGTGGAAATAAAATATCAGACCCCACGTGGAAATAAAATATCAGACCCCACGTGGAAATAAAATATCAGACCCCACGTGGAAATAAAATATCAGACCCCACGTGGAAATAAAATATCAGACCCCACGTGGAAATAAAATATCAGACCCCACGTGGAAATAAAATATCAGACCCCACGTGGAAATAAAATATCAGACCCCACGTGGAAATAAAATATCAGACCCCACGTGGAAATAAAATATCAGACCCCACGTGGAAATAAAATATCAGACCCCACGTGGAAATAAAATATCAGACCCCACGTGGAAATAAAATATCAGACCCCACGTGGAAATAAAAAATCAGACCCCAAGGAAAAAATCAGACCCCAAATCAAAAAATCAGACCCCAAATCAAAGCTATTCCTCACCGAAGAACCGAGAAGACACGCGCCATCTTCCCAATGGCTCTAATCTTATTCCTGATGATCTCTTTACGGACTGTTGTCCCACCTTTGGGAGAGAAAAAAAAAAAACAAAACCAAAGGCCAGCATGTTTAAGGCTTCCCGTTTTCCAGGAGGAGGTAATGTCAATATGAAGCACCTGCCTGACTCCAGGAAAAAAGAAATCATGGTTTTACAGCTTCACAGCTACGCTCTCGAGAGAGGATGGCAGTGAGAAGGGCAACACCAACGAGATGACACACGGGACTTAAAGAAAGAAATAAAATAAAAGAAAATAAAGGGCTAAAAAGAAGAGTAGAAACCACCAAAGGAAAACGGAATCGGGTAGGTCTTTTTTTGTTGGAAGGAAGCTCGCCGGGTTTTTGGATGACACTACACAGGATGTAACACAAAATGACTCAGCCACGGAGACACAATTTTTTGCAAGGCAAGAAACACGGAGGGATCTGAGTGGTGATGGAGACGGCTGCGCTCGCCGCGGGGAGGAGTGTCACGCAAGCAGCAGCTTTGGCATCCAACGGGCACAGTGAAGGGCTGGCCAGAGCCTTG